AACTTTAACTGTACTCCCGAGCTAGATGAATACTGCTCCCCAACTCTGTTTTTCTGACCTTTCCTACTTGTTTTGTTCTTAAATTTCTCCACCAAATTCCAAATGACTTGATTCTTGTTTTGTTGGAATCTAGACTCAAAGAGCTTTCAAACAAAACAAGAATCAACTCATTTGGAGTTCGGTGGAGAAAGTTTTGAGGAAAACAACCAGCAAAAGTCAGAGGTGGTATAAATATATAAAACGTTAACTTTAAGGAATTAACTACACCTACTCAGATGTCCAAAAATTATAAATTAGTAGTCATTGGAAAGATTTTTGAGTCTACTATCTAATAAAAAAAGAATCACATCATTTGGAGGTCTGTGGAAAACGTTATGATTAAAATTGTCAACAAAGGCCAAAGTTGACAGCATGTTATCTTATACGTATATCTTTCCCTCTTATTGACAGATGTATTATTTATTGAAAATGCCTTTTAAAATATTTGCATTGTAACAACATTAGATGACATATTTCTTAATTAATAAAACGAAAAAATTTTCCTATGAGACTCCGAGAAGGAGTGTTACAACAATGGTCATGCACCTCACCTCAGTTGGAGAAAACCACCTAAATGGACATTTTTTTTGAAGAAATCAATGACCTAACTCATTATTGGTGCATGGAGCATACCTAATAACATTTAACTCACTCACCCATCTCAAAAAATGAAAAATTCAACAAAAATAGAGCATGAGGAGTATTGTTCATCCAAGTGGGGAGTACAGTTGAAGTTTGTGTACAAATGACAATTTTTTCTCTGGTAATTGATTACAAGACCCCTGTAATCGATTACCAGAGAAAAAATTGTCATTTGTACAGAAACTTCAACTGTACTCCCCACCTGGATGAACAACACTCCCCAGGGTCATTTTTCTGTCCCTGTGGGTGATTTTTTTCTATTTATGTCACTGTAATTGATTGCCAGGGGCTTTTATAGGTGTTTAAACCAAGGTAGTTCAACTGGACTCCCCATGATGGTTTTGCCTGTGTTTTTGGTGACTTTTTCCAATTTTTGAGATGGTTGAGTGAGTTTAATGGTCATGTGTATCAAATCCATTAATATTCCATGATGAGAACATATTTTGGTTCAATCCATGAATATTAACATTGAAAAAACATGTTATGAATTGGAAATGTTCAATACAATCCATTACAATAATTTTTTAAAATATTAACGTCAGCATGATTGGAAAGTGGACATTCCATAATTTTATCAAGTAGACATTCATCTCCTCATGAGTCAATCTTCCATTCAAAACATCAAGAAACTTGGTTTTGAAAGAATGTTGCACACACAACTGCATAAAAAAAATTCATGTTAGAACAATCCAAAAAATAATTAACAAAACAAAAAACACAAATTGGCAAAGAGGAAAGGGGAAAGGCTAAATGGAAAATGGAAAAGAGGAAGTGGAAAAGGGGAAAGGGAAAACGCGAAAGGGGAAAAGGAATAGTGGAGATATCTTGCTCTCATCACCAGAGTTTTCCATTTCCCACAACAAAATCAATATAAAGGAGAACATGTTTCTCGCTGGGTTGCCTCGTCGAAGAAGATGAAGCTAAAATAAAGAGAATCGAAAGAGAAAAAAGAAAGCTTGAAGGGAGAAAGGAGAGAGCTTGAAGAGAGAAAGGAGAAGGCTTGAAGAGATAAAGGAGTGAGCTTTAAGAGAGAAAGGAGAAAGCTTGAAGAG